TCCAATGGTTTCTTCTACCTTATCAGAAGACAGGTCGGAGATGTTCCTCTTTCAGGTCAGATTAACTCAGTTGGTCCTTAAATCTCAATAATGGTGGTCATCTGAGGTGCTTTCCATAGGGCTCTTGTTCAAGGAACTGGACAGGTTAGTGCTGACCATGGATGCCAGTCTTTGTGGCTGGGGAGCCCACTTTCAATCCAGGGTGGTCCAGGGACAATGGTCCCAGGCAGATTTGGGCCATAATATCAATTGGCTAGCGCTTTGAGCAGTCCATTTGGCCCTGACACAATTAGTGGATTTTGTCACAGAGAAGGATTTCCTGATCTTGACTAACAATGTGTCAACAAAGGCACACATTAACCCTCAGGGTGGGATACATTCAGGGCCCCTGATGCTAGAGGCAGAACAACTCTGCTTATGGGCAGAGAGACACCAGGTATCGCTCAGAGCTGAGTACATTGCAGACGTGGCCAATGTTGAGGCTGGCTGGCTTAGCATAGCCACCATTGACCATGCAGAGTGGCGTTTGCACCCCGATTTATTTCAGGAGCTGTCAGAGCACTTTGGATGGCCAGCAGTGGATCTCTTCGCTTCCCAGGACAACATGCAACTCCCAAGTTTCTACTCCAGGTTTGAGGTTCCGGGGGCGGAGGGAACAAACGCTTTATACAGCCCTTGGACATGGGAGCTCCTGTATGCCTTTCCTTCTCTGCCCCTCATCCCGAGGGTCATCTAGAAATTGTTGGCGGAAAGAGCAGAACTTATACGTGTAGGCCCTCATTGGCCCAAGAGGCCATGGTTTGCAGACTTAGTAAACATTTCCATCTCGAGACCTTGGAGGATACCAGAGGACAGAGTGCCGCTCAGCCAGGGGCCAATATTACATCCAGAGCCCCAGTGGCTCCAGTTGGCCGTCTGGAGATTGAGCGGGGATCTCTGATCTGGGACAACTATTCCTCCAGAGTAATAAGAACTATCCAGGCCTCCAGAAGACCCTCCACCAACCGCATCTACAATGCAACCTGGAAGGCTTTCAGCAAATGGTGTTCTAGGTCTGACATTGTCCCTTCTGGGGCCTCAATTGCCCAGGTGCTGGGCTTCCTCCAAGAGGGCCTCGACAAGGGACTTTCACCTAACACTTTGTGAAGGCAGGTTGCAGCCTTGTCCTCTGTTCTGTCCTTGGGGAGAGTTGAATCTTTGTCTAGACATCCCATGATCCACAGGTTTCTGAAGGATGCTACAAACCTGAGGCCTCCAGTGGTTCATCGATATCCGACATGGGACCTCTCCAAAGTACTGCAATCGCTGACTGAGGCCCCATTTGAACCACCGAGGTCAATCCCCTTGCAGTTTTTGTCTTGTAAGATAGCCTTTCTGGTAGCAATCACCTCTGCCAGAAGGATTTCAGACCTGGCAGCCTTGTCTGTCAGGAAAAACCTTTGTGTTTTTCACACCAACCGAGTGGTGTTAAGACTAGACCCTTCATTCATGCCAAAGGTGAACTCATGGTTCCACAGAGCCCAGGAACTAATCTTATCTGACTTTTGTCTGCATCCTGTGCACGCGTTAGAAAGAAGATGCCATACTCTAGATGTTTGAGGATTTACATTAAGAGAACATCGTCCTTTAGGAGGTCTGAATCCCTCTTTATTTCCTTTCAACCTTCTACCATGGGCTGCAAGGTGACTCTAACGACTGTGGGGAGATGGATAAGACTGCATATCCAAAGCCTACCAATCCCAAGGATTTGCAGTTCCTCCAAGGATAACAGCGCACTCAATGAGAAGTGCGGCCACATCGATGGCGTGGGCCACCCAGGCCTCTTTGGGGGAGGTTTGCAGGGCAGCTACCTGGGCCTCACCTTCTCCGTTCATCAGACACTATAAGCTGGACTCTTGCTTCTGCTGAGACAGCTTTTGGACGGAGGGTTCTGCAAAAGGTCCATCCTGTATAAGGGATTTGGACCGCACTAGGCCACCCATAGGACAGCCTGCTTTGGTATGTCCCGATCCTGAATGCTATGTCCACCACAATGGAGAAGGGTTGTTGGTTTACACCTGATACGACCTTTCTCTTTGGGTGGAGATAGCATTCAGTCCCACCCATTTGTGGTGCGTTCCGAATGAAATGGTGTATGATATGTTTATAGGAGAACACGTCAGTCTGTCACTATTCCTTCGCCAATTTCTAACAGCAGAGGGAGTGTCCTCAAAGTTTTGACAGACCCAGTCCAATCAGCAAGCAGAGACTGATCACACAATCCTGAATGCTATCTCCACCCAAAGAGAAAGGTTGTATCAGGTGAGAACCAACGACCCTTCTGTGGTGGTACCCCACTCCACAGGGAGACTGATACTAACAGATTGGACTACCCCCAATGACTGATGGAATCAGAGGGAGCTTGGTGTTGTTCCAGAAAGTCTGCACATGGTCTGCATCTTTGTACTGGATTGTGCCTGAGCTTTAGTGGCTGCGTTGTTAGCCAATATGCTTCCAGTTGCAATTAATAGTGCTGGTTCTCACCTTAAAACGCTTCATGGCTTGGGGCCATCTTCTGGCAGTTATTTCTACCCATTCAATCTGGTCTGGCCAGATGGGCATTTTCTGGGTCCCATCAGCCAAATAATGTTGGTTGGTGGGACCAGGAGGTATGCTTTTTCTGCTATAGTACCTTCCCTCTGCCCAGGTATTTCTGGCTTTGGAGGTGTTTCCATTATTCAATTTTGCTTTTAGCATTTTCTCAATCTTTGGGTGTATTCTTTATTAATCACATTTTAACGTTCATACTGGATGTTATCCGACTGTAAAATGCCCAGATACTTGTAGACTTCATCCTAATGGCTTCTGGTGGTTTGGCCTTTTGGCATTTCAATTTCATTGCTGTTTGTGATTTTACCCTGATTTATTGCTACTGCAGTATTTGTCAATGACCTGATTTCAGTTTCTGATTTTCCATAAATTCTAGATCATCCATATAAAGTGAACGTGAGATTTTATTAGAATTATTTTTGCTGCTTGGTAGCCAATATTTGTTTTCTCCATGACTGAAAGTTGGATCATTGCAGTGACAAATAATAAGGGTGATCTTGTCTCTCTTAATGTTGACATGCATTGTTTTCATTTCCAGCATCTAATTAATTAAATATTAAGTAATATTAATTTCTAATAATTTCTATTTTCAGAATTTTATTTCTTATACTTTGAAGATGAGAATCACCTTTAGTTTGATTGAAATAGCTGATTTTGCTTAAATTGGATGATTCATGCAATGATTCACAGTGTTCAATTATCTGCTGTGGTTCTTTGCTTTATGCTTTCCAAAGCTTCTTCAGTTTTTCTGGTACTAAGCTGGAATTTTTTATTAGATTTGTCTTGTTCTTTACATTTTTCAATTTCTGTTCTTTCATGTTCTTTAAATTACTTACATCTGATTTTAATTTTTTTTATCTCATCCTCCAGTCTGATCTACTTTAGGTTTGAATAAGATTTTGCTTTTTTGGTTTTCTAATATTGATACCCAGTTCTTCTGTTAAACATCATTGCAGTACTGTAGGCAAACCAATTGATCTGTTTGATAGATGTTATTTTAATCATTGCAGCCATCTTTTTGATATCCTTTATTATAGAAGCAATAACTTTTTTATTTACTTCCATCATAGTTTTTTATTTACCATGGGCATAACTCTTAACCTCATCGTAGCTCTCTGTCTGTTTATGTTTTGGTTGACTCAATGTGATGAATATACCTAATACATCTTCCTCCTATTTTCCCCACAATAACAACCCAGTGAGGTGTGTTGAGCTGAGAGCGACTGATCCAAGTCACCTAGCTGGCTTTCATGGTTGTTACTTTGGGGAAATGTAGGAGGAATGTATGTGCTCATAACAGGCATCTTCAAACTTGATAGCTTTAAGACTTGTGGACTTCAACTCCCAGAATTCCTCCTCCAGTCATGTTAGCTCATAACCCTTGGCTCATAACATAATTCTAATGAAGAAATAAATAACTATCAACAACAATAAAAAGCCCCTTTGATATAAAGGTTAGGTTTTTTTTTTTACAATTTTAGTTTTCTAAAATTTATTTTAAATATGATTATTAACCAGCGGTAATGGGATTGGTACTTTAGCAAAAATAACATGGCCTTGTTTCATAGTTCATTATTTTTACTAGGCTAAACTAAAAGACTGTTCTTCAAAACACTTTAAAATACAGATACCGCAACTCCTACTAGATTAATTTCTGTACCTTCTGTTACATATTATATAAGAACTACTCTCAAAAAACAGGAGATCAATTTCTTTTATTTGAGCGAGTGAGTGAGCTAGCTAGCTAGATATAATTTTTAAACATTTTTGTTTTATATTTTTAATTAATCAAATTGCAAAAAATAAACACTCATTTTTCTTATTTCTGTATAATATGTAGTAATTTCTGCTGTTTTAAAAAATAGGAAGGTGGCCTGAGAAGCTATAAATGGAAAAATCAAAGTCAGTTGGGTATTGGTTATGGGTTGAAAAAATGGTTGAGAAATTCCAAAAAAGGAGCATTGGGCAGAATGAATAGAAAAAACAGCTGTCAGGCCAAAAAGCTGAGAATGAGAAATTAGTGTCTGTAACAGGTATGATAGATAGTGGCAGGATATGATGTCTGGGATTCTAGTTGAGATAGGAGATGCATGTGCTGCCACTTATCTAGAATACTCATTTATCCTGTTGTAGTTCAACAATAACAACAACAAATTATCAACATAAATATATCTCAAAAGATAAAAGTGATTTATTGAAATATAATCTTTTCAAATATCACTGTTGCTTCTGAAGTTTAGCTGAAGTAACTTTGGTCCTTTACATCATGTTGGGATTTTTACTTAAGAATTTATTTTTGGCAAACATATTTCTGAATAAAAAGCAATACATCAAATCAATTAATTTAATGTTTCGATAGCATAATAGAAAGCCTACAATCCTTTATTCTGAATTTTATATTATCATTTTAGGCCACAGAAAGTGAAGCTGGTGACATGGACCTGAGTGGATTACCAGAAACAGCAGTAGATTCTGAGGATGATGACGATGAAGAAGATATTGAGAGGGCTTCTGATCCTTTGATGAGCAGAGATATTGTTAGAGACTGTCTAGAAAAAGATCCAATAGACAGGACAGATGATGATATTGGTAAGCTACCATTGACACACACAAAAAAGGAAAGGACGATTTAAAAACTTAAGAACTTTTGATGAGATATTTTCAATTTCAGAATTTAACAGAATGAAATTATTTCCATGAATCAAAATAGAATTAACAAAACCAAATTCTAAATGTCTGAGATGAACATGCTGTGTATATGCATGCAGTGATGAAACCTGTTGGACTTCCCACCCCATATTTAAGGATTCATATTTTTTTGCTTCAGAAGTTTTCAATGCTAGGAGTAGAATTTGAAATACACTAGAACTTTAAACATTAACTTATCTCTGTGTGTGTCTACACACACACACACACACACACACACACACACACACACACACAATTAGAAAAGACAATAAAAATAATGCAAACTAATATAAAGTAAAAAAAAATAAGTAAAAGAAGAAATCAACAAAAAAGCTTAATGTGCAAGAAACATAAAAGTAAAAAAAAAATAGAAAATAATGAAAAAAGATATATAGAAGTGGCTTCCAATCTCTTCACAGAAATTATAAGTACAATTATAAATGTATTTCTTTGTCTATAGTTGTAACATGATGGTCTTATTTCTATAATGTATTGTGTGTAATAATCAAAACCATAAATCATGTTCATTATTTCTTTTTTATGCAAAAAAAATTTATAAGAGGTTTCCAGTGAGCAATAAAATTATTTTCTCTCATAAAGAAGTCAATTTACCTATCTTGGGAAGTTCTACCTTCACCCACCATTCCTCCGTTGTGAGTCATATTGAAACTTTCTATCTTTATGCACTACAACAATCTAGCTGCAGTTATGATATTTAAAAACAAAATTTCATGACTCTTTTCACATCAATTTCAAAAGAAAAAAGCCTACGGTCTTAATTGTATATTAATGTTTAATATAATCTGAATCAGCAAATCTGTTTGAATCCAAAATTTTCTTGCTTTTTTACATATCTACCAAACATAATAAAATATCCTTATCGTTCACATTTCTAACCTTGGGGTGACTTTGTACATTCTTGACCAGGAGTCTCCAATCTAGGCAAAGCTGGCTGGAGAATTCTGGGAATTGAAGTCCTCCAGGCTTAAAGTTGCCAAGGTTGGAGACCTCTGTTCTAGACAATTTCTCTAGTGACATACAATATACCAACAGTACATCATTTTATAAAAATTCTCTTTAAGATTATAGCATAGTGTAAATTTAAATCTTTTAAATCAAATATTTTTCCATTGTCGCACCTGTACAGTATATTGATTCACCTGTATATTGTCCTACCAAAATTTTAAGCATACTTTATCATACATTATTTCACCTGTTTTTCTTTTCAAATGTCAATAAAAAATGTACATTTTAACAATTACACGTTTATCATTTGTGCATAATTCTTTTTCATATTCAGTCTTACAATGTTCAAGACCATAAATCCTTTTATCTACTTTAAATATTTCTAATAATTGTAAGTAAAAAAAATTGAGAACTATGTCAACTTGCCAACAGTTCTCCTGATTTTATTTTACTTTCCTATTGACAAAATTCTAGTATTTGTTTGAGAAGATAGCCATTTGTATTTGCTTGTTAACTTGTCTATAAAATGATTCTTATTCTGAAAGTCATAAGGGTGCTTTCAGGCACACCTGCATTTGTATCTATTCCATATTCTCAGTATGCACCGCTAACAAAATTATTTTTAAAATGCACATTAACATTGCCTTTGTCGTGCCACAAACATCTATACCACTCAGATCTCTGATTGTGTCCTTATAACTGCAAGACATTCTATTTCTAAGCAGCACTCACTCTGTTTCAAACCAAACAGTAAGCTACAAAATACAGTTTCAAATCATGCAGACCCAAGCTTTCCTTTTTTCCTTTGCAATTTGTAACATCTTATATTTAACTCATTTTTTTGACCAAATATATTGAAATATATTCTTCTGTCACTTTTTAAACCATGCATCAGTTGTCAAGGCAGGTTTTGTCTAAAACACAATCATTAGGCAAGATACTCATTTTTATCACAGAAATTTTCCTTAGCAATGACAGTTGTAGTTTTTCCCATCTCCAATCTAAAATGTTTTTAGCTTCATTTCATGTCTTAACATAGTTATTTTGAAGTAACATACAGTTTATATTTGCCATAGTGATAATCAAATATGTTATATTCTTTTCAATCTTAAAACCTGTTTTATTTGCCAGTTTTTCTTGATCTGAATTTTTTAATATTTACTTCTATTTGGTTATCTTGAAATTTGCTAATACACCAAATTCTTTTAATTTCCCCATTAATGTTTCAATTCCCTTTAACGATCTTCCCAAATCAAGACCAAGTCAGTCTTTAATTTACAAGTTTCTTTTGTAATCTTTGCTCTCACAATCCTCTCATCTTGCCTTATGTCTTTGTCCAGTATTTCAAGAACTAAATAAAGAGATGAAATGATGGCTGTCTTGTTTCTTTTGTAATTGCATATGTTTTATTAGAGCTCCATTAATAATTATTTGTGCTTTCTGTGAAGTATAAATCAATCTTATCCATTTTTAAAGTTCTTTCCAAAAATAAATATTTTAAAAGCTTGTATAGGAAAGCCCAGTTCACACTGTCCAAGGCTTTTTTCTGAATCTGTGAGTGCAGTTTGTTTTTCATTATGATGATTCAAATATTCCATACTATTTTAATGTTGTGTTTTAACTGTTTTTTTTCTGTAAACATCCACATTGAGCTGTATGAACAATTTTTTTGCAAAATTATTTTCAGTTTGCCAGCTAAAATTCTTGTGAATAACTTGTCATTATTCAATAATGATGCTGGCCTATGGTTTGTTGTTAAAGTCAACATTTGTCCCTCTTTAGGTGTTAGTAGTATTTTGGCCTCTTTCCAAATTTCTGCATCTTTCCTTCCTATCAGATAGAGTTTGTCACGTTTTATAAAGGCTATAAAAAGTTCATCCTTAAAATAATTATAATAAGAACCTGATAATTCATCTAGTCCAGGCACTGTTCCTGGTTTAATCTTTTTTATAGCTTCAGAAACTTCCCTTATTATTGTAGGTCCATTCATAATCCCTTTGTTCTTCTGTAATCCTTCCCAAATTTTCTTTGAATTTTATCTATTTTTTTCACAGAGATATGTCAGTTCCTTAAGTTGGGAAAATATTGATGAAATACTTTTTGTGTGACTGTGTTATCCATTAATACAATATCTGCCTCTTGTAGTTTCAATTCATTTTTTTCATTTTTTTGTAATTTATATGCCAACCACTCCCTTGGTTTGTTTGTGAACTCAATCCCCCCCCCCCAATTTGTTTTTATTTCATTTCTTTTATTGTTAATCTACAATTTTCTTAAAGCAGGGGAATCGGGCAACATTTACTATCTATAGTATTGATTATACTACTAGTAGCATAGCATTTATTATCTATACTATTAAGATTCTTGTAACCTTTAGCTGGGTGAAATGGTGCATTATAGGACAAAACTTTTTCACACAAAATACCTCAAATGGGCTAACTTACAGAATGTGTCAAAATCCAGGACCCATTGCTTGTCTGGAATTGAAATTTGGCAAATTTTATAAAGCATTTTATGACATAATAATAAATGTCATAAAATATTTCCTGTGGTCAGCTGCTGGTGTTTGACTGTACTATACATTTCAACACGGGCTACTTTCAAGACAGATATCTCTCTGCATTTTTAAGATTTTTCCAGTACATTAAAGCCTCTGCCATTGTTGAAGGTATTCAGGAAGGTGATAAGAAATCTGATAGCCCATAACACAATGGCTCATGAATTCTCTAGGTAATTTTATTATTAAAATAAAATATATTTTAATAACATGAGAAATATCTAGGGGAAGATATTTTTCCATGTCTGTTCTATGAATCAGAATTATCAGAAGATTGTAATGATAGGTAATATAAAAACATAAGCATAATCAAATAACATTTATTAGTCTTCTAAAGCATTAAATGCTTTGGGGGTGGGTGGAAACATATTTGCTTGCTTGCTATAAACCACGCTCAGCATTCTAAGTAAAAAGCAATATCATAATCTTACATAAGGAACAATATACTTTTTTTTCAGCAAGTATAACATTCTGTTAAGATAAAACTGATCTGAATGTCATTGAACTAATTCTGTCAGTAACTGGGCCCCGTCAATCTAATATATGCCCAATATGCTAGAAAGATATATACACCTAGAAAATTTCCAGGTATGATTCATGAAATTTGTTTTTTTCTGAACATGATTTGTTTATTTTTAAAAAGTTGTGAAATGGTTTATTTTTTATTTTTTAATATTAGTTTAAACAGTTTGTGGCAATTGTAAACTATTTGGAGATGACATGTTATATATAATACAATAGATGGAATATTTTTAATTCTCCTTACTAAGATTATGTTGCATGTACACATATAACTCTGCTATATTTTCTTCTCTAGAACAACTCTTGGAATTCATGCATCAGTTACCTGCTTTTGCTAACATGACTATGTCAGTGAGAAGAGAACTCTGTGCTGTGATGGTATTTGCAGTTGTAGAAAGGGCAGGAACCATTGTTCTAAATGATGGAGAAGAAGTAAGTATTTGTAGCTTCTTATCAAAGAAACATTAAATTTATTTCATTTTATTTCATATAATAAAGACATTAATAAAATCATAGATAAATTGCTGAATGTAAAATACATGCATTTGGTTACAGTATTGACTTTAAAATGATCGATACACAGTTTTGTATGTATTATGAAACTGAATTTCTTTATTCAAATATATATACATTTCCGAATATATATAAACTGACAGGTAATTTGAAAGAGTATGTGATTAAAATACTAGGATTCTCTATCCAATTCTTGATTTGTGTAGATTATAGCAGAAGCAAATCTAGCTGTAGGTAAGCAGTGTGGTTGTAAAGCACAAGTGCATCACTTAGGGACCGCAATTCCTACAGTTCTGGATCCCATTGTTAAAAGAATGCCATGATCATTAGGTTTCTGCTGGCTTCCCACAGCCAAAATCAGCGGGGAAGCCAGCTGGAAGTTGCATGTCCCAGGCTGGCTGGCAAGCAGGCTGGGGCAAGGAGCAAGGGGGGGTGCATAGGGAAACAGTCAGGTGGGGAGTATGATAGTGTAGGGGAAAGTGTGAGGGGATGCACGAGAGATGTGGAATGGGTTGGGGTGGATGCAAGGGCATGTGCAAGTGATACAACATGGGTCAGGGAGAGGGTGTAAAAATGTGAAGGGCTGTATGGGTAAGAAGCATGGGTCAGGAAGGATGGGTGAAGGTATGATCAGGGTGGCAGCACAGGTCAGGGAAGTGCATGAGGATGCAAAAGAGTAGATGAGAGGCGAGTCATGGGTCGGGCAAGTGCTATAGGGGTGTGAGTGGCTAGTATGTTGCAAGTGCAGAGGGGCTAAGGTAGGGTACAGAGATGTGGGGGAGACTGAACCCAGTGACTTGGAACATTCCTTGCCAGCTTCCCCATTGATTTCTGGGGAAACCAGCAGAGAAAATTGCAAAAGGCAATCATGTCATCACAGAGTGCTAAATGTGCATCAGTTGCCCAGCATCCAGGTTGAGATCATGGGGTGCTGGGACGGCCAGAACTCTGAGGAGTGGTTATAATTATAATTCATTGCTGCTGTAACTTTTGTAACAGCTGCTAAATAATGTCCATATATTGGAGACTACCTATTACTTTATTTACCTGGGAAATAGCTCAGAAATGAGACCAGACTATCAAGTGTGATATCTTTATTTTTTGTTGACTGAATGTGTAAATTGTTATGTATTCATTTGGACTTAAAGCACACCCATCTTCACCTAAAAATTTGTATGGTCACATCTTTGTTTCTTCCCTATTTACAAGCATTTATTAGAAGAAAACTGAAAACGTAGTTTTATCTTTCTTATCTGAAATAATGTACTTTGTTTTTAGCTTGATTCCTGGTCTGTTATTTTGAATGGTTCTGTAGAAGTAACATATCCAGATGGAAGAACAGAAATATTATGCATGGGAAACAGTTTCGGTGTTTCTCCTACTATGGACAAAGAATATATGAAAGGAATCATGAGAACCAAAGTGGATGACTGCCAGGTACAATTTGAAATCTGAGTGAACCATTAGAAGAGTTTACAAATTTCCTATGATTGGACATTATTAAAATTCTGTGCCTTTTGTGTTTCACCCCACAGCAACCAGAAATCGAATTTTGTCCTTTGTTTTCAATTATCAGTTTCAGCCTATGTCTCTTGAATAATCTTCTGTATATGCAGATTGCAGACTGCCTAGTTGTCTGAACCTTACTTCCTCCACATATCAGTATGTTCTTTGTGAATATATAAAACTGTATAGTTTTATATAAATATATAAAAAAGAATATATATTTTTTTTTCCCAGAATTGCACTGCATTCTCTTTAACATTTCCCTAACTAAGGAACTTCCTTCTGCATGACTAATTCCCCATCTAGCACAGGTGAAAAGTCCACATATCTGGAAGACGCCATATTTGCATTGAAATTGGTTTATTTGAGAAAAGGAGGGGAAAGGTGATATAAAATTGTTGTGATAGTTGTTTATTCAAATTGAATTAATTATTAATGCACTTTCATAAACAAGAAGCCTAGTCCAGTTTCCTACTTGAGGTAACAGTAATCACTTTTTGGCATAGCTGTGTATTCATCTTATAAAAAAGATGACCTAATAAAAATAATAATAATAAAAATAATACATAAATTATTTCTAGTACCATAGTAATTTACTATTCTAAAATCAAATAGAAGTTCTAGAAATATTTTGGTTTGACTACAGAGTATTAAAAATAACATAAATACGTAGAAAAACATTAATTCTACTAAGTTTATAAGTGTAGTTATTGTGGAATAAGCACACAGAAGTCATAAACCTTAATTCTGAATAAAGATACAAAGATTTGTGATGAATGTTATTTATTTTTATTTTTCTATAATGTCTGAATTCTTACTTACTACTTTATATTAGGGAATTAAGTATAACACTGTGGCTTTACAGTTTTAAATATTTTTGATATGTGGATAAAATTCAAAATAATTAATGCACTATTGTAAACCTCTGTTTCCAGTTTGTATGTATAGCCCAACAAGATTACTGTCGCATACTGAACCAAGTAGAAAAGAACATGCAAAAGGTAGAAGAGGAAGGAGAGATTGTTATGGTAAAAGAGCATAGGGAATTGGATCGCACTGGAACAAGAAAAGGTCACATTGTTATTAAGGTATATATATATTTACATCATCATGTATGTAATTGAAAAAATGAATGCTGTTTAAGGGAGTATTTGTATATTAATGTTATAATACACAAATAATGCCTTATTTTCAATGGTTTAAGTATTTGTAATTTTTAAGTTAAAATTAAAATTTTAAGAGAAAACTGAATTCTTAGATATATGCAAATATATATGCAGTTTCCAGTTTCTGGTTTAAGTACTGTTATGTAGAATCCAAAAAGGAAGTAAGAAATGGTAGATGCCAATCTCCAAAAAGCAAGAAAGATACGTTGTGACTCTACCACACAGATGTCTTTATTGTTCTTTACCCATAAATAGAAGTATACCAACTCCCCCATAAAGCATATACTCTGAGAACTATTAGGGAGAAGCTGTCTTCACCTTCTTTCTCTCACACAAATTCTCTGAACTGAATTGTCTCTTGACTGAATTCACTCCTTTTTTGTTGGGAATTTGGACTACATTCTATCACATCAAACTAAAAAAAAATTAAGGCATGAGATAAAGAAAAGAAATGTAACTAAAATTGTTTATTCCAGCACCATTCAGTATGATACTATATACCTTTCTTTCCCACCCTTACTTGCTTCCATTGCATCCCTACACTATCCACTACCAATTCCTACATACCTTTTATTTTTTTTAAACGTCTCTAGTCTCCATCGAGAATGTTCTCAATGTCATCCAACTATTATATTCTGATATTCCCTCCTCTCTTCAGCCTATTTCCTTTTTCTGCCATGTATTTTCTGCCGTTTAATCCACATACATTCTCTTGTGAATGCTAGTCACTCACTTCAATCCATACTTATTTGGCATCTATTCATTCTTGAAATTATCTTTTTATTACACTACTTACACTTCCCAAGTACTCATTTCCACTGTATTCACCTTACTTTAATGTTTCTTTTGACTCTCAGTACTTTGTAAAAGAAGTTGGCCAAGCAAGATTTAATATGCAGCCAATTTCATATTTTTCAGGAAGCATTCATTCCAGATCCCCCAGTTTCTAATAGCATTTGCAGATCCTAAGATGCATACATCTTTTGTAAATACTCTGCAAAACTACAAAATGTATCTGTCTAATCTGGTTTTTTTTACATTTTCACTGCAGTTGTTCACTTTTCTTGTAAAATTAAGCTTATGTGAACTTTGATAGATTAATGTTCAGATCTGTAGTTTTAATTGCATCCTACAATTTGTTTAATATTATTTCAAATAATTTTGTTTTTCTACCAAAAACTAAGCAACATCTGCACAAAGTCCTTCAACCAACTCATCACTTCAACATAACCATGAGGATTTCTTACATATTTCTCTATAAAAAGGGTTATCACACATGCTTGCCTTACTCATAGTCACAATTGAACCATTCTCTTTTACTCTCGTACATATTTTAGTTCTATTAAATGCCACTCTTAGTGCATAACTTATAATCCCACATTCATCCAAAAATTTCATAATTCAATATTGATTTATCATATGCTTTCTCTAAATCAGTAAATGCACAATTATTCTTATATCAACCATTTTTTATTCTTATATCAACTCTATTAGAATTCTAACATTTTCAAATGAATCCTCTAACAGTTTTTGCATTCACTCTTCCTACTTTTTCTTTGGCAGAGAAACAGTAACACGATTTTTCCAATTATCAAGTGCAGATCCACTCTTCACACACACACAGTAAACAAATTGCATAGCCACTCCATAGCCAAACCACATCCATATTTTAATGTATCTCTAGTTCCACTGTCTAAATTTGAATGTTTTACAGTATTTATTTTCAATGTTTTACAGTATTTATGACTTCCTTTTCATCTTGTTCTCTTGGACCCTAATATTTTACTTTTTAGTGTACCATTATCATTTTATACTAAAATTATTTTTATATTTAATATGATATTTAATTTTACTATTTAATTATGTTTATATATTTAAATATATAATTAAATATATTTAATTAAAATTATTTAATTTTTTTTATATTTAATTCATTCTGCAGGAGATTCCTTGCTTACCCCCTCCATCCCCATCTAGAACAATTTTCTAATTCTTTCAAAGATTGCTCTGCATTTTCTGTCTTTTTTAGTGATCACTGTTCTTTTCTCATTGACTGCATGCTTTTTAACTGTTCCTTTCTACATCTTATATTTTTCTTATAATCATTTGTTACGTAATCATTGTTTTATATGTATTTTTATGCATAAATGCTTTCACTTCATCAAGCACCGTTTTTTATACTTCATTCTGTTGAAAGACTTTAGATTCTGCTTTCTTTCTATAAATGCACTACTTACCTGTTTGTATTTCATTTCATTTCATTTCATTCTTGATCTTCTTTATCACTGACATCTCTTACATTCCATGGTGCAATCATCCATATGCCACAATCAACAATTTAATTCAGAATGAATTGAATATAAAAGTGATTAAATAATTTGGTTAAATATATTTAATTATATGTTTAAGTATATAAACATAATTAAATATTATGTTGTATTAAGGGCCGTGGTGACGTAGTGGTTACAATGCAGTACTGCAGGCTACTTCTGCTAACTGCTGGCTACTTCTGCTGGCTGCTGGCTGCCAGCAGTTCAGCAGTTGAATTCCCACCAGTTCAAAGTTGACTCAGCCTTTCATCCTTCCAAGGTCGGTAAAATGAGGACCCAGATTGTTGGGGGCAATAGGCTGACTCTGTAAACTGTTTAGGGAAAGGTTGTAAAGCACTGTGAAGCGTATATAAGTCTAAATGCTATTGCTATTGCTATTAAGTTCTATAGTTCATCTTGTTTTTGGTCTGAAGCTTTTATGTAATGCTTTAATAAGTTATAGAAGATGTAGACTAGAGGACCATCATTATTTGTATTCATGCTACAGTATATGCAACTTTTTTGCTACATGCAAAGATAGTAGTGGGCAGTTTTAGAAAAATTCAGTTTTGCCACAAGAATTTTCATGATATTTTAGACAAGCTAGAATCTGTATTCTCAAAAACACCTTGCAAATTATTATGTAGCTGCCCAAATGCCATAAAACAAACAAACAAACAAACACACACACACACACACACACACACACACACACACAAATTCTTGTGGTAAGACTGAACTTTGCTAAAACTGCTTCTACTAACTTTGTATGTAGCAGAGAAAGTTGCATATAGCATGAATACAAATGTTAATCTGTAATACGTGTGTATATATGTGTATATATGTATATATTGTATGTGTGTGTGTGATATGTCATTGTCTGATTTAAAATATAGTCTAATAAAGATTCCATTCGGTTTTAAATTTGATAAAACAAATAAGATGCAAAGAAAAACACATTCATTTGTTGATGTTTGAATATTTACTTTTACAGGGAACACCGGAAAGATTAACAATGCATTTAGTCGAAGAGCATTCAGTAGTGGATCCAACTTACATAGAAGATTTCCTATTGACATATAGAACTTTCCTTTCAAGCCCAATGGAAGTGGGAAAAAAGTTATTGGAGTGGTTTAATGATCCTAGCCTCAGGGATAAGGTTGCATAAACAATTTGCTTCTATATCCTTATTTTAACTGTAATGTATTTGGATAATTTATATGGGACTGGAGGATGGGGAGTGACAATATTTTTTTCAGGTCACTGGAACAAAATAGCATTTAACATATTTATTTCATTATGTCTAACACAATGCAATTTTCACATAGTAAAACTATTAATTTTTTCCATTACAAATAAAAAGTAATGTAAACTGTTTTTCTAGGTTTTTAGTAGTATTTTCATGTTTCAACTTTTTCGGTTAGCTGTCTCTCCCCCCCCCCCCCTCCCCGCCAAATTTTAATGTTTTGTTTGCTTCATCATCACCATTTACATGAACAGTTTCCTTAATATGGAATAATATGGAATGTTAAATCTTGGATAAGCTGTCCATCTCTTGTTATAATTTAAAAAATATTGTATATATCACGTAGGTTTAAATTTCTGATTATCCTGCTTTATAGCTGAGATTCAGACTGTCCTGACCCTTATGTCATGCTGTAAAGTCTTAAATCCTGATTCTCCTCTCAATAATTGAACATTGGAAGAGTCTATATGAACTGAAAAGTCCTTAAATGAGATACGTGCTGATTAGCCTTAGCTGACTATTATTATTATTTGTGTTATTCAATTATTAGGCTGTGTATTCTCATTTGCAAAAAAATTGTGGTGAAATTAATCATTCAGAAAATATACATTTTTAATTTTTTTTAAAAAAATTCCAGATTGTTTTTTATTATATTGGTGTACTCTTATTAAATGATGAATTTCACACCATTCTATTAAGTTAAATGTCATTAATATTAATTCACTGAATGTAATATTTTTATATAAAAATGTAACACCATTTTATATTTCCTTCAGGTTACACGGGTAGTTTTATTGTGGGTGAACAATCACTTCAATGATTTTGAGGGAGACCCTGCAATGACTCGTTTTCTGGAGGAATTTGAGAACAATTTGGAAAGAGAGGTATAAATAGAGCCCTAGACAAGGAAAGAAAAAAGTTTTGGTGCTCTGTTGAGAATAATATTGAAATTAATGGATCTAAATTAATATTTTTGCTTACAGAAAATGGGTGGACATCTGAGGCTGTTAAATATTGCATGTGCTGCTAAAGCTAAACGAAGGATGATAACATTAACCAAGCCATCTCGGGAAGCTCCTTTGCCTTTCTTATTACTAGGAGGCTCTGAAAAGGGATTTGGAATCTTTGTTGACAGTGTCGATTTGGGTAGCAAAGCTACTGAAGCAGGGTTGAAACGTGGAGATCAGGTATGCAAATTAACATTTGAAATGTCAGTAGGCACTTTCAGAAAAAGAAAAGGTTTAACTGTTCCATTTTTATATGAAAACTAAAGAGAGGAGAAAAGGAGTAGGAAAGCACAGGAGATTTGCAGAAAGGTTATCATTTCTGGAACACTGGAAAGTTTTGTGAATGAGACAGTGAATTACAGAGAGAAGTGTATTCTAAAAACATCAGTTGAATGTGAATTCATTGGAAACAAACAGTGTTGTTTTTATAATATATTTTAAACTTCTGATTTTTCTAATTTGCAAGGATGAGATTCTCTTGTTTCTCTGTCTAGATATTGGAGGTGAATGGCCAGAACTTTGAAAATATTCAGCTAGCAAAAGCCATGGAAATTCTTCAAAATAATACCCATTTATCTATCACTGTGAAAACAAACTTATTTGGTAAGTATTATAGATTAATAGAGTTGGAAGGGCCCTTGTAGGTTATCTAGTCCCATCCAAGCAGGAAACCCTACACCATTTCTGACAAATGGCAGTCCAATCTCTTCTTGAAAGTCTTAAGTGATGAAGCTCTCACAACTTCTGAAGGCAAGCTGTTCCATTGGTTGATTGTTCTCACTGTCAGAAAATTTCTCCTTATTTCCAGGTTAAATCTCTCCTTGTTCAGTTTCCATCCATTATTCCTTGTATGGTCTTCAGGTGCTTTGGAAAATAGCTTGACCCCTTCCTCTCTGTGGCAGCCCCTCAAATATTGGAACACTGCTATCCTGTCTCCTCTGGTCCTTTTCTTCACTAGTCTAGCCATGTTCAGTTCCTGTAACCGTTCTTCATATGTTTTAGTCTCCAGTCCCCTAATTATCCTGGTTGCTCTTCTCTGCACTTTTTGTAGAGTCTCAACATTAATATATGAATTAATGACAAGGTTGTTATTTTTATTCAAGTAAAGTATGTTAAAAGTGTGATACAATATTTATCTAATTAATTGGACTATATACCATCAACTACTATATGATTCTATCTCATTAATAACATGACTTAAAACACCACTGGTTTCAATAAAATGACCATGATGATTAAAGAATAAAATAAACTAATCCACAATAAATAAATTAATATGTAAATAAATGCTATTAAAAACTGCATACACCAGCAAGCATTAACAATATTTGTTTGGATATAAAACCAAGCAGATTTTAGAATGGATCAAATTAATAAACAACCTGGCTGAGATGATACGCTTTGCAACACAAGTATTAACAAAAAACAGTACAAAATCCCCATTTTTCATATCAATAACAAGAACAGTGAAACTTATATACCATCCCATATTGCTTTACAAGACCCTATGGGAAGTTTACAATATCATATTGCCCCCAATAATCTGGGTCCTCGTTTTACTGACCTCAGAAGGATGGAAGACTGAGTCAATCTTGAGCCCATCAGAAAAATTAGGGGCTTGAGCAGTGCATGAAAACCAATTGGAAATGTCCAATAACGATAAATTATTTATTGCCATTGCGTATCACATTAAAGTCAGCAAAAAGACCACTTGTTTGTTTATTTACATTTCATGTTTCAAGGAGGGGCTCTAGGCAATATACCGTATAATCAATATATGAAACAGCATGTAAAATTAACAATAAAATATTGAGATTAATTTAGGGTTAAAAATTTAACAATTAAAAGATTATAACATTTCAAAGAAATAAAAATAATTCAAAGATGGTAATTTAACACTGGTTAATAAGGCTCTCATGGCATCAGCCAGCCCCACAATACCATGGACCTTTTTGCCTCCCATGCAAGATCGTATAGCCAGTTTTGACCTCTTTACGGCAAGCAAGAAAGTGGGGGCTGCCTTAGCTTTGGGGAAAGGATATTGTATAATGCAGGGACAGCAGCAGAGAAGGTTGCCTTCCTAGATCTCGCCACACCAGCTTCCATACACTTTTGAAGGGTAGCCCCATATAGAGCACATTGCAGTAGTCCAATCGGAAGGTGACGAGGTCATGAGTGACAAAATGGAGAGCTGCCCGGTCATAATTGGCACACAATGCAGAGTTGCCCAAAGGACCTCTTAGCCACAGCTTCCACCTGCTCTTTAGCAGGAGCCATGAGTCTAAGAGGACACCGAAGTTACGCAGCAGTATTCTGTTGACAAAAGATCCCCCAAAGTGTGCACATCATTGCATTCTACACCAGCTGTAGCTTCTGAATTCTTTCCAAGGCTAGCTCTAAGTAGAGCACATTATAGTAATCCAATGAAGAGATGACATCCAACAAAGAGATGACATCCAACGAAGAGATGGCATGAGCAGGACCTCACAATCTAGGTAAGGGTACAAGTGGTGTGTATGACAAAAGTTGTACAAAGGCTCTCATAGCCACAACTGCCACCTCCTCTTAGAGTAGGAGACACCAAGTCCAGGAGAACCCCAGATTGTGTGCTAGATCTATCTATGGTAGTGCAAACCTATCCAGAATTAAAGTTGATAAACAGTTGAATCCTGAGGTCTCTTGTACCCACAGCCACTCTATCTTGCCAGGGTTCAGCTGAAGCCTGTTGTCCCCTATCCAGACCTCTACAGCCTCCGTGTACTGAAAAAGGGCAGACACAGCATCACTTGGCTTACTGGGATGGAAAGGTAAAGGTGTGTATCATCAGCATACTGATGATATGTCCTCCCACGGTGTCAGATGTTCTCACCCAGCAGTTTCATGTAGATATTAAAAAGGAGTGAACATTGAGCCCTGCAGCACCCCACAAAGGAGGGGCCATGAGCTGGATCTCTCACTCCCTATTAACACCGCCTTGAAGGAAGGAAGTGAACCAGCACAAAACTGTGCGGCCCACACTCATCTCTTTAAGTTGGCCCCAAATGATACCATGGTTGATGGTATTTGAAAGCTGCTGAGAGATCAAGGAGAGCAATCAAAATGTTAGGCTTCAAAAACCAAGAAAGACAGATTGAAGTTCTTCTAAGCAGTTTCCTTTATTATTTCTGATTTATAGACAAAAAGCTTGTCAAACTAAAACATACTATTTGCAGCATTAAACATAATCTGAAAACTACTGGGACCAAGCTGTCTTAACTCTCTCTCACACACAAACTATCTAAACTTCACTGTCTTTTGATCCTTTGGATTGCATTTTTTCCCTCCTGGGAATCCAGACTACATTCCATCACAGACCTTCTCAGTGGGGTTTTGGCAGCAAAGTCAATGGTGGAAACCAGATTCATAAATGATCGCATGATTCACTTAACTCCAGCAGTGATTTGCTTAGCAACATGGCATACAACGTAAAATCAAATGCAAATCATTTAATGAATGCATTGCTTAGAAATGGACCTTCTGTTCCAATCCTGATTGTACATTGAGGAATATATGTATATCTTGAAGACTCAGTTCTGCCTGTAAAAGGGATTGGTGGAATTTTCTATTTACTGGAACTTGAAAAGTATACATGGAGGAGGACTATTTTTCTACATGCTTTCTTTTTCTTTCTATGCAGTTTTTAAAGAACTTCTGGCAAGATTGTCTGAGGACAAAAGAAATGGTGCTCCTCATCTTCCTAAAATTGGTGATATTAAAAAAGCAAGCCGTTACTCCATCCCAGATCTTGCAGTTGATGTGGAACAGGTGATGGGCTTGGAAAAAGTAACAAAGAAAAGCAAAGCCAACACTGTTGGAGGAAGAAACAAGTTAAAGAAAATACTGGACAAAACCCGCATCAGTATCCTGCCTCAGAAACCATACAAGTGAGTGTGAAATGTAGAAGGACAATATGCTTTCATGCTATACTGCATTAGCTTAGATATGTTACCCATGCATTTTTTAGCATTGACAAATGATCATAAACAAAGAGCATAGAAGAATAAACCAGGGATGAAAGGGAAGAATTTCAAAATATGCTTATGGAAAACCAAATGAAATATTATTTCTATTTTTCTAAGTGTTAGAATAAAAGTAGGCATAATTGATAGTTCTGTTTGCTTGAATATAGATCCTGGCATAGAAGAATACAGGTAAATGAAATAAAATTTTGTTGGTTAGAGAAAGATTCTAAGATTGTTTTGACAGTTGAATAAATGATAAGAAATCTCAAAGCAAATACACAGAGAGTGCATCTTGATCTGTGCTTTGTGTTAATAATTAAACCCAACCCAATGGTTTCAGAACTGGTTTGTTAGTCATGTTTTTTGTTTTAAAAAGAAATTAAGCTTCATCTTTTCTTCTTGCATTTTGATAGGATTTTGCAAGAAATTATTAAGGATGAGAAGACAATTTTTCCCACTCAGCTAGTATTGCTAGCCCAAGCGTGTCAAACTCATTTTCATTGAGGGCCGCATCAGGGTTGTGGGGCCAAGGTTGGTGTGGCCATAGTAGGCCTGGCCAGCTTGATGTCACTCGTGTCAGGGCCACTTGTGGCAGGATTCCCCTTGGACTCTCCCTCACTCTCATTTTCCTTCCTTCCTTCCTTCCTTCCTTCCTTCCTTCCTTCCTTCCTTCCTTCCTTCCTTCCTTCCT